ACAGTCCCTGGAATCAGATCGATAGTAAACTCCATATCCTTATCTAATGGTAACCCTGGAAATTCTTCTGGAAATACATCAGGAAAGTCTTTGACCACTGGGATATCTTCAAGTTTTATTTTGCTAGCATTTGTGTCAATGACATGAGCCAAATATGCACCACAACCTTTATTAAGTAATCTTCTAGCATCTATAGCAGATATCACACAAGAGGGTAAAATTCTGCGTTGTCCAGTGAATATAACTTCAGGCTGTCCTGGTTGTTTAAACACAACCTACTTTCGAAAACAATCAACTGAGGCTCGATTTGCAGCTAAAAAATCCATACCCAAAATAACATCAAAATCATGGATTCCTAAAGGTATTAAGTTTGCCTTCATTTCGCACTCATTTACCTTTATCCCACAGTCTCGGTATATACTGTCTACTACCAGTGATTCACCTACCGGCGTACCCACTACCAAACAACTGTCTAAAGGTTCTAGCTTTTGATTCCCATATATAGCAAGCGCAAATGAAATAAAAGAATGTGTAGCTCCAGGATCAATTAAAATATGAGCATTTTTATCAAAGATAGATAACATACCCATAATAACATCTGGTGCCTCTTCTGCTGCCTGCTGCGTCATAGCAAAAACCTTTCCTTGCTTCTTCGGCCGTCCAGCTTGACCTTTCGATTGGGCACCACTACCACTTGCAATATTAGACTGAATTGCACTGCTTGCACCTACTATATTTGCTAAAGCATCTCCCTGTCCTTGCCTCGGTCTCGTACTTCCAACACTCTATTGAGGAAATACTCTCTGCGACATGCCACTCTCCTGTACTAACATTGGGTAATCTCTCTTAAAGTGTCCACCTTGGCCGCAGTTATAACAAACACCAACCCCTTTGAACTTTAAACACTCGCCCAGGTGAGTTCTTCCACATAACTGGCAATAAGGAATTCTAGAACTGTTAGAACTCTCACCCTGTCTGGCAGTAAATATTCTCGGAGAAGAACTTTGAGTATGAGGACAGTTAGTCATTGGTGGTTGTACAGCACTGTGACTAAACCTGGAACTTTGACTTCCCTGCGATCTAGTCTTGAAATGACTCGGTCTGGACACACCAAGGCGAAATCCTCTACTGTCCCTCTGTGGTGGTCTATAGCTAGAAGTACCCACCGATGTCTGACTGACACTTCCTCTAAATTGTATATATTCTCTACCAATTGGTCTTTCAGAAATGCTCTTCTCTACTCTTAAGGCCGATTCAACCAATTTGCCAAATTCA